TATATATATATATATATTTGTTTATAGTTGTTTTTGCTATTAGGGTATTGGTCACCTAAAAAGCTGTGTTTTGTTTTCATTTTCTCTCTTTTTTTTTTAACTTGAAGATTCACAAAGTGTTTTACAGGAAAAACCACAAATTATTTACTAATGAAAACAGCAGCATTAGAATTACAGCAGTAATAACAGGCACTGTACTTATTTCTTAGAAGGGTGATGTGATGACATGGAAAAGGATTGGGGTGAGCTAACCATACTGGCTTCTTTCCAATACTACAGTGAAGAGTATTGAAACCCATGAATTTGTGAGAGACGTCAATGAATGTTCACCGTCAATCAATGTTCACTGATTAATGAAATCTCCCTGGTGCCCGAGTGGCAGTGTCGAATTTACTACATCAATATGGAAAGAATGATAATGGAGGTGTTAAAACATATTTACCTATTTTCCAAACAGTAAAAACTATATTTCTTATATGAATGGGGGAGAATTAATACATTTACATTTTTTTTTTGTAATTGCAGAAATAATTACAAGGTAACTAGAAAACAAGGAGACAATTCATTTTCCCCCAATAAAGACATTAAAAACACAAAGAATTACTTACTTTGATCTATCTGTTCAACTGCATTATTTATTAGTTGCTTAGATTGGAGGGAACATGATTTATTTTTTTCTTCTTCCAGTCCAGATGGTTTGGTTTTACATTGTACGCTAGGCAATGTGTAATACGATCTCAAAAACTCTTCAACTGATTCAAATAAATCACTCTATAAACAGTGACAAATGGTAATGAAAACTGCACTAAGCAAAATTACAAAATATATCCAAACAATATTTGTAACTGTTATCAAAATAAAATAATTACACTGCACAAAAAAAGGCAGGTAGTCTTTGGCTACTTACTTCATCATGACACATTACTTTCGACTTGTTTGACTCAATATTGACATCTACAGCAGAAGCTGCCACTTTAATGCTCACCACAGAAATAGGGTATTTTCCATTAGGATAATTGACACCAAAGTATTCTGCAATACAATTCAACACAATCTGTAACAATGAAATTAAAAAACATGTTGAATGCCACAGAACAAAGCCATCATCAATCCATTTTTCACTGGGGCAAAAAAAAGAAGATTAAAATTATAAAAATTAGAACAAAGATGACTTCATAAACAGAAAGAAATAGGTGCAATTCTTAGATATCAAGTATACACACTAACCCCAATAACCAATACCAATAGCACGGGGAATTCTCATCATACGATGTATTTTACTAATATATTTCTTTGTTGCTGAAGGATGGCAGTACTTTTTCACATGATTGTACTTAAGCAAAAACAGTAGCCGCTAGTGGCTACCAGTGGCATAGCGTGACTTTCTTCTCCAAGGGAAGCTGTCATATTAAGATATGAGTCACATAAGTGTGATTCATGGATAATTCAGGAAATATAATTTTTTTATTAGTTAGGCATAAGGAAACTGAATTTCATCAACTTTTAAACTTTGTAGGCTGTTAGATGGCACAAATCAAAATGAAATCACTATGTGGAGTCTTCTCTTGAGAGCCCTATTTTCTTCTTGTTAGAGATGTTTCTTTCAACTATTATGGATCAACGAGTCACCGGGCTTCTCTGCCCACAACCAGTCACATTTCACCACCTCTGCCTGCCAAAGTTTTATGTCATCTATGTTGGATGTGAGTTTCCAATTCACCTAAGAGATATGCAGATTCAGTCTGCCTACACTACGCACTTGTGCTCAATGACATAATATTACTTTGGCAATTTTTTGACATTAAACACTATATAATATATTCACCAACAACATTATGCTTAACAAAATGAATAACTTACACACAACATATTTAAAGAAATACAGAGCAATAGGAAACAGTACAAATTTTAACCAAGACTACTTTGCACGTTTCCCTGTAATTTAATTTATTTGGGAAGAGCTCCCAGTTGTCTGCAGATATCATCAAGAAAACAGGTTCTAGATATAGGCTCTTTTCAATTATTCGGGAGACCTTGGCTTGAGCTCCTGGGATCGGTTTGTTCGCTTCATGGGCTGCAGTATACATTACGCAGTTTAATTTTGTGAACTGCAAACCAGCAATAACCACCAGGGAATACTGACCTTCAAAATTTAATTTGGGATAAGCAACACAAACTTTGGACGAAAGAGCAACAAAACGTATTTTCAAATACAAAAATTGTGCTTTTAAATTGACAGGGAAGCGGCGCTTTCAACACAGCCATTGACTCAACGCCCCTGGTGGCTTCATAAACTAAGGGTACCAACAATTATTGCTCCTCGTACTTCCGGGAAGAATTAAACAAATGCGAGCTAATAGTGCGACGGCCACATGCTCCCTGAATCCAACTCCGCGCCCAACCGTCTAATACGTCGTAAAGTAAAATTTGCCAAAATACCAATCTCCCCCTTCCATGCCGCCGCAGACTTCAGCACGCTGGTAAAGAACAATTTCTTCGGCGTGGCCGTAGGCAGGAAAGCACGAGGCCGGAAGGCATGTTTCTCTAATTTGAATATATGCCTTCAAAGAATAGATTTCAGGAAAGATCAGAGGGAAAAAATCTGTATCTTCAATCTGTAGTTGTAGGAGGACGCCGAAAAAATCCGAACTTTTGCAATTTTCGAAAAATCAGGGGTTTTACCAAAAAATGAGACCTGCAGACATTCTCCTTCACCCCTATTCGAGAGAAAAATTAAGTGTATTTTTTTAAAAACGTTTGAGGCGTTCCATAAAATACCCATCAAAATCAAAATATCCGCTTGAAACTCATAGAGTCTCCAGTTCATTTAAATCGATAAGGGAATATCAATTCAACAGTTTAAGCGTTAGCGCTGACCTATAGTCAGGCGGACGGACGTTTTGACGTCAATTTTTCGGTAGGACCCGCAAAACATGGATTCTGACTACACCATGTATTGGAGGAAATAATTTACAATATACAGAAACAAAGTTTGTCAACTTTCTCTTACCAGGACACGGCGATAGAGTTTTTTCCGTTGAAAATTGGCCGCCGCACGATTACAATACTTTCCCTTCTTACGAAGTAAACGCGAAAAAGTAAAAATCTACAGATTATCATCAAGAAAACAGGTTCTAGATATAGACTCTTTTCAATTATTCGGGAAAATATCTTTTCCTGCTTGTTCTCGTTGTTTATAACTGTATTATTCTACCATTAACTATTCTATCCTGGCTAAAAATAGCATAAAGGTTCCTCAAAATCCAGTAACTATTACATTGCACTTAGCGCGCCCAATCCCTGAAATCCATCCAGTCTTCCAGTCATTGAACCCAGCCCTCAAACGGATAAAGGGAATTTCTTCTCTTGGAAGAACATCCTGTTGAAAGATTCTGAGGATTGCAGAACTGTTTAATCCATTTTCTATTGCATTCAATTTTCAGAAACGATATATGGAAGCTTTTTCACCACGCGCATGAGGCAACTGGAGAGTAGTATATCGATGTAGTACATCGAACCTCGCCTGATTAATCTACCCACAGGTCTTTTGCTGAATTAATTTCGATCTTTTACTCAAAAATAGAGATGTCGTAGAGAAAAACTTACATAGTGTCACACATTACTTGCAGCATATTGTTTTATATCAACTTTATTTCAGCGATATGATATTATATGCGTGTTCTTGCGGATATCAGTGCTGATACAGGGCCTGGAACACGGGCTGCCAGTAATAATTTGCAGAAAATTGTCAAGTAATTAGAACAATCGCGAAGTATAAAAAGTGTGAACACTGCATTATAAAATTTGTGGATTACGTTGAAACAAAAAGTTCCAACAAATTATTTCCGAAAAATGGTAAAAATTGATGATGTATCTATTATTACTTTCCCGCTTTGCGATTTCTGTAGAAAGAGAAATTGCAATCTTGTGTCGGAAATAGGCGATTTTACGACAGAAAAATAATCATACTATCGGACCCTGGTAAAGATAAAGTGGAGAAATCTTGTTCCTATATAAAGTAAATTACTTCATCTAATACTCTGTGTAGGCAGAATCCATGTTTTGTGGGTCCCTGATACCGAAAAATCGATTGACGGCAAAATGTGTTTGTCAGTCTGCCCGTGCTAAATGCAAGTGCCTAAAACGTTCAGCCGTTCAGATAACGTAAAGAACTCTTAAAGGAATAGCGCAGGTCTCTTCGTTGAAATCCCCGATTTCCCGAAAATTGCATAGGTGAGAAATAATAAGCGCCGGCAAAGGCAAGTACAGATAAGCGACTGCGTCTTGTAACGGTAAAGCGCATGGCAAATCAACTTTATGAACCTGAATTTGAAAAGAAAGGAAAGAAAAATAAAAAATGCAAGAGAGTATGTGCTGTTACAGCAACATTAGTTTACTCTCATCTTCTAAGTACTCACGTAGTAAAGAGAGACTACTATAAAGTTGCAGAGAAAAGTGATTTTTCGACAGAAAACTTTAAACGTGGGTCCCCGATACCCAAAATTTGGATACATTTTGTTGTTATATGTAGTAAGACTACTTCCTATAATACATTATGTAGACACAAACCACGTTTTGTGAGTCCATGATACCGTAAAACTGGTTAACGGCAAAACGCCTGAGTACAATGTGGACAACGGCGCCTAATCCTTTCACACGATTTTTCCAAAATTGACACTCTTCGATCGATCTCGCTGATCTCCACGCTCTACGAACCCTTAGAAGAAAATATTTTTTTTTGGGGGGGGGGGTACTTTACATGATGATTCGACATTTCCAAAATTTTCTCAAAAATGGCTCAAAATGTAGTTTGTTTTTTATTTAATAGAGGACCGACACATATAATGGCGCAGGTGTCATTTTCGCTGAACTCTATATTTTAGAAAATTGTAGAAGTCTGAAAATTTTCGTTACCTTTCTATAACTACAATATTGTCCATAGAGATTTTGTTCCTAATGAAATCAATTTTTCAAAATTCGATCTTGAAATAATGTAAAATCTTTACATTTCCGAAAATTGTAAATGCAAATGCTCAACTTTGTTTTTGTTTTACTTCCGAGGCTAGTGGTGTAGGGGTAATGTGGATGACATGCTAAATCTAAGAATCACAGTTCAAACTCTGACATGGAAACATAAATAAATTTTGCCTGGTTGCAAACATTTTTGCACGTTCATGCACTAGTCGTGCAACCTTTCTTGATATCTCTCAGCACTGTGTGGGAATAACAGACCTATGTCACTTCAGATGGGTGTTACCAACAGTAACATTATTAATACTATGACTATTCACACCTCTTTCACTATTAATACACAAGACATTATAGACAATAAAATACAACAAATACTCAAGTAATAAAAAACCACAAACAAATACCACAAATAAAAATAATGAGTAAATGATAATATTGATTATTAATGAGATATGGTATTAGTGTACACACATACTTAATTGTCATCTTCAGTACAATTGATATCATCACTTGGATTCTCAGTTACATTAATTGATCTCCCACTGTGATTTCCATTCTGAATTTCTCTTCTGAAACTGATGTAAAGGTGAAAGATCTGTTTTGGCTTTCTCAGTTTCACAACATTCAGCAACTTTTGACATTACTTTTCTTTCACCCCTTCGCATTGTGTTCTAAGAACCTCCTGAAACGGTCCTAGGACTGGCTCTGCCATTGTATCTAATTATAACCAAAAATAAAAATCCTATTCCAGAAGTCCATGAAAAATATTGTTGCCAGAATCCAAATAATATTCCACATCAAATAAAACCAAAATCCAAATCGCAAAGCCAAGAGGGGAAGCAAAATATCGTCACAAAAACATGACACAGTTAAGGGACAACGAAAATGCAAGAGCTGAATTCATTCAAAAGCAGTGGTAGACAGCCCTAACCTTGCCACGCCTTTCCAAGTGACACTAAGGTTTTGGCCAGTCCTTGACAAGTCGTGCTGGTTGAGGACTAGGGAGCTCAGACATCAAGAAAAGTTCTGCGACTAGTAACACAAATATCACAAAAAGTATGTGCTGTTGTAGCACCACAAGTTTACAATTCTTAGAAACAGTATTGAGAAATATATTAAAAGAAACCCTCAATAGAACAATTGATAGATACAAGGAAAATACAAAGAGGTCACAATTACCTTTTGTAGCTTGCTGTAACGCACAGGTCGTTGGTTAATGAATGTTCTCATGACATCAACGCTAGCAAAACAAAGAGTAGCCATGTCTTTGCAATCCTTTCTTGGAACTACAAGTACAATTGAATTCTAGAATAGAGAAGAATAAAAACTATATAAATATTAGCAATTAGAGGAGTGAAATCTTTCTTATTAACAAGACAATGGAGCATATAGAAATAACAGACAGAATTACTTTTGTATATTTCTATAAATTGAAACTGTAATTGCAATTGAAATTGCATTCAATGTAATTATAATTACTGCAGTTAAACGTTATGATCAATAATAGGGTAATGTAAACATCATTTACATTCAACTTTGCAACCATTCAATAAATGTGCTATTTGCACAAGTGGTTTTTGCTTTTAATTAATCCCTTCTCTGCTTATAAATTTATAACAAAATTTTAGTAAAACAATATACCGATAACATCACTTGTAGATTTAAAATACAGCGGCCTTCTCATATCAAATGTACAATGTACAAAGTAAACAAGTTTACATCATAATACACTATTTAGACAGATATTTAATTGTGTAGGAAAACTTCACCTTATTTTTATCAGTTGATATTTCCTCCAATTGATTGGCAACTGGGTATCCTAGTATACCCTTAAGAGATTCCTTTAATGTTTGGGCTGGTGACTTTTGCCATACCATACATTTGTTATGAAAGAAAGAAAAATAAACACCAGAATTTATTATAGCAAAATTTTTCACTATCACTTCCGTCTTCTTGAACTCTGTCTTAGCTTTATTTGAAGATGATATAAACTTCCTTCTCACAGGCACATTGCTAAAGAGGTTTGAAACTACAACTGTAGTCCCTAAAAATATAAAGATACATTGAAAATCAAATGAGCTTTCAACGGAAAATTTCAGAAAAATCTCATAATTGTCATTTATACCTTTCTTAAAATGTGATGGTTTACTGTCCAAAATCTTTCCATTTTTGTCAAACGTGAAACAAGAGGCAAATTTATCATTTAGAGTTCGTGTTGTTATCTCAACATCAGCTATATTACACAATGATGCTAAAGCTTCACCCCGAAATCCATAAGTTTCCAACTTACTACCTGGAAAGTAATGAATATTAAATTTAAAAAAAAATAAGAAAGGTAATCTATCACTGTATTCTTGGCTGATGCAATGTATATATTATAGTCTCAGACTGTAGCACAGGTGTTCCTAGGTTTGACTAGAGGTCTCAGTGAAAGAACACTACTGTATTACTGTATATTTCAGCCTTTCAATAATGAATTTTTGGTCAATCTAATTTGGTTAAATATAACCTAATATTTTTAGTTTAATGAAAACACTTTCCATGGGCTTTTGAAATAAACAACAAAGAATAAAATAATAGTGTGGTAACTTAACTAGTATTTATTGATGTGTAAAATTATTCAGAACATCACAACATTTTGCAAACACCTAATATAAGAACACAAGTAATAAAAATTGGAATCCTTTGAACATTAACTAGAGCTAATCATGAGGGAAAAAAAAAAAAAAAAATTCAGAAAGAAGTAGAAGTAGGCATCTCAGTTCAGCCACATGTCTTTCCGAAGTCTGGAACTAAAGCATTATCAATTTTAGGGTACAGTTGGGACTTTACCAGGCATATAAAAGATGGCGTCAAGAATCTGGCTTTTGCCCAACACAATTAACATAAAAACATACCTGAGTCTGCCCAATGCATTTTATGCCAAAATACTCGGTTGCTGAACTGTTTGTTAGAGACAAAAAGTACATATATTTTACTGTGTATGATGAAGAGCCCAACTGATGTCAGGATATAATTAGAAAAAAGAATCAAATTACATTTCAATCTTTAAGTTCTTTTACATTGAATTCTAAGAGTGAAACAACTTAGAATGAATAACTTTTTAAATATTGAGGTTTCTTCAGGTTATTAAATGCCAATGCACATGTAAAAGGATGGAATTCAATTACATTTCACATACTCAACAAATATAAAATATCTAACAGTAATAGAAATAAAGAGCAGCTCTTATCAATACCGTTCTTAACATGTAATCGAGCTTTGGTCCAGTTAAAATTTTCAATGTAGAATTCATTTTTGAGATCAATGAAACAACAGCTTTTACATCTACAAAAACATTGCAGCCCAAAATCTCCAGCTGAGAACTGACTTGCCTTTGTGGACTGCAGATCAAGCATCCTTACAGAAACACACCTTTGTTTCTTACTGCAAAGTACAAGAATTTTTTTATTGGAAATTCTTACAGTATATATTTAAAATCATTCACTTGAGTTTCCTATACTATTGGGGGTGGTTGAGTACTCTGTAAAATGACATGTTTGAAGGTCTCAAGCACACTCAATGGCCAGTATTACACTGTAAAATAACTTAGCCAAAGATCTTTTATAAAAGAAATATGATGGTGTCACAGCTCATATTTGATAAGAGATTTCTTTTATAAAATGTCTGAAACGTTCAAGTTTTCCATATACTTGGGAACATGGTGGCATCGGACAAAGAGCATTGCTGTTACGAAACTTTAATATTTGAGTATGAGCAGCTGGAATTGCTGCAAAGCACCATACATCCATATTATAAAAATAAACGTTACAATACCTAAGAAAGGATTTCTCACTCTGGAAATTGCAGGTCATGATCCAAGCTTGATTCAAGCAGTAAAAAATAAAATTAACGGGCTAAGGAGTCAGTATCTGAATGGAAAAAAGAAGGTAAACAAATTTTGAAATGAAATTTCAAAAAAATCATTTATTTTCATTACTTTGGCATGTTACAATTATACATGAATGATAATATGTAACTTAACTTCTTCTCTGTCTCTCTCTCTTTTTTTATTACTACTAGCATAAGAAGTGGTGCCAGTGGATCTGATGCTTATAAATCCACTGTTTATTGGTTTGCTCTGCTGGATTTTCTTAATAACTCGATGAAAGTGGACGAATCCACATCCAGCCTTGACACACAAAATCTACCAAATTAAGAAAATGGAAAAAAGGTACAATCAATTATATTTCTCCTGCCATGGCACTTTACCTGCATCATTACAATATCTTTTGAAACATTCATTTATTTCATGACCATAGCGGTTTCCTCCATCTGTGAGCTCAGGGCTAGCATTGCAAGAAGTTCCTCATCTGTTTGGACTGCTAAAAATCTATTTCCCTCCTTACTTTGAGAAGTAATCTCATGCCTTGTGTAATGCATACTTTTTTTATAATCAACATATTGTGCAATGCACAAGCTGTTAACGTTATTCATTTTACCTTGTCAGGTAACACATTTATGGACGTTAAAAAAACTCTAAATCTTTTTGCGAAAATCCCAAATTTGCTCTCCAACATACGCCTGCCCCTGCTAAACCTATAACTACATACCTGTTCCTCGCTTGTCATATTATATTGTATATTTTCCAAAGGGAATAGTTTCATTACCTAGTATGATAAAGGGAAGGCATCATCAGCCAATAGAACATACAGAGTTGTTATCTTTGTACCTGGCAGTCTTTTCCCCTCCGGAATATTAAGAATTGATCTATCCATTAGGCATTTCTTTAGTTTACTTTTTGCGAAGATGCCACTGTCACCAATGGGGCCCTTTGTTCCAACAGCAATGTATATACATTTATACTTTGCATCGGCAATAGTAAATAACATTATACTATGTAAAGATTTGTAATTATAGAAATGTGATCCTTCCAGGTGAGGATGACTGATGAGTCAGACGAGTTTGCTATTCATTGCACCTAGGGTACTGAACACATTCCGTTTTTTTTTTTCGAATTCCATTGCAATCTGTTTTCATTCCAATGCTGTTGGTATCTTCAAAAAAGTAAAACTAGTAGTATAAGTTAATTTTGAAGTGTTGACTAAGTGCACTAGGAGAAAATATCAATTGGACCTTTATATTTTAAATGAGTATATAATAAAATAACTTTTATGAACTTCTCAGAAAATACAATTACTATCAAATCTTCTCGTTTGAAATGAAAAGAAAGAAAGGAAAAAGAAAAGAAAAAGAAGAAAAAAAAGTTACAGAAAATTACATGATCTATTTGCAAGCGTACAGTTTGTTAATATTATTTCATCTTGGCCGATTTTGTGGATTCTTTAGAGAATGTCTTGGGATAAAGTGAACTTCTGATTCACCCTCTAATCATACCTGAATACGAACACATTAATAATAATAATAATAATAATAATAATAATAATAATAATAATAATAATGTTGGCCCCATGGCGCAGACGGTTGCGGCAGCCGTCGCCTGTACCGAGGAAGCTGCAGGTTCGAGTCCTGCGTAGACATGGTCGTATTTGTGATTGTCCCTTCCCTCTCTCATCATCCACATCATTCTCATCTCATCATCATTCATTCATCATCATCATCCTTTCATCTCATAATTGACACCTCAAGGCGTAACAACCTTGTTGTAATCCAGGAATACAGCTTGAAAAAGCTGATCCTGGAAAACTCCACACGGTTAATTGGTGGAGCATGGTAGTAATAGCCTATACACCAATAATATAATATATGAATATAATAATAATTAATAATAATAAAATAATAGTACATTTTTTGCAGTTATTTCATTTGCTATGGTTTTTTTGTTTTCAGGATCAATTCACGTTTACTTATCGATGAAGAGGCAATTCCCCCCCCCCCCCAAAGAAGAAGATTTGATAGATAATCTTTTATTGCAAGCAAGAATTACTGTCGGAAATTACAAAACTTATAAAATGAAGAGATATGGGGAAAAAACAAAAACCCTATTGATTCATTTTCCCAATTTGTAGGAGTAGAGATGAGGATTATTAGAGATGCGGGAGGGGGGATTTTCATGAGGGCCAAAATAAAATTCAAAGAGTCCTCATCGATGTATGGGACAAAGAAGATTTGATATTTTAAGAACCTTAATGACACCAGCAGAAATTCAGTATGAGAGTGACACTGAATAAAATGTTTGAGAAAACTGATTGCGTTCTTTTCTTACCTTGAGAAACTCTCCTTTCAGTGCATTGTAAATGGCTTGGCAAGTTTCTGGAAAAATTCTAGATAAATTACACTGTGGAATTCTGATGCTGGACGATAAGCTGGTGTAAGTTTCTTCTGTTGCTTGAAATCTGAGGGTAATGAGGAGGCATTCCTCAAAACTAATAGCGTTTCTTAAGGGAGTAATCTGTCAGCAAATCAGAGGACCAGCTTTCGAACAAAGGAAATTGAATATTGCCTTGTCCATACTCAAATAATTCATATAGGTTTTTAGGTCTTCAGTTCGAAGTTATTTAATAAAAAGTATAATTGATGCCTCTTTGTTCATGACATGCGATCCATGGGCCTCGCCCACAAACGTTTCCTCTTTACCCTTTTCTTCTTCAGCAATAAACATAAGGTTGTTATTATTGAGCATAGTGGCACTAAACATAGTAATTAGTTTGTCATCCATCTTGAATGGGCAACTATTAAAATGTTGGACACTGTGTAATAAATTGGTCAAAGTTCAACGACCTTACCCAATGTTTATCAAAGATATTTGCCAAATATCTTTTACCATGTAATACCGGCCAATCTCACCACATAGTGATATTTTAATACACCATATAAGAACCAAATATGGTTCTTATATGGTGTATTAAACATCTGGATCTGGAAACATCTAATCAAATCTGGTCATATAGTATTTGAATATTTTGAACATACCAAGATCAGAAAAATCTTTGATTTTTGACGTATAATGTGGCAAGCACATGTGTTCTACATCGGAAGATGGTACTCCACTGCCATCATCTTGCACCTCAATTCTGGCAAGTCCATAATTAACCTGAAATAAAAACAAATTTAAATAATAAATAAGGATATATGTACGGCTAATTACATACAAACAATCTAACTTACAAGCTTCACGTTAATAGCAGATGCTCCACTATCCAAGGCATTTTCTACCAGTTCTTTAACAGCATCGGATACTGATGATATTGCCTGACAGCTCGATATACGTCTAGTTGTGGTTGGTGACAACTTCTGCAGCGACATCATACAAATAACAGCAACTGACACACCTCTAAAGATATGTGGCAATTATAAATATACTTCAAAGTAAAAATCCCTCGAGAAAACTAGACATGATAACAGTTCACACTGAAAACGAATATCGCGGGAACTCACGTCAACATTTCAATGTCAAGGACTATGCACCACACGCGCACCAAGTCAAGGCAGACGTGGTTACCAGCTGGTTGCTAGTAACAGCAGAAAGGAATATCAGGAGACATGAAACCAAAACCACCAAGACACAAAGTAAAGTTCTCACGAACATTCTGAATTTATAAGTTAAGAAATGCAAATTTTCCGTTAAAAATGTTGTTTCAATGGTTTACCAACAGTCCTTGGATTGCAACTTAGACGTTTGTCAATATCAGTTTTATTTTTCGAGTTACAGAGTAAAAAAAATATATTTAGCAGTGTTAATTAGTTTTCTCCGAATTCTGAAGTTACATATCGCCAAAACTTTTAGTTCCTCGCCTTACTACGTACATACATACTAAAGGGAAATAATTGTAATGCTGCTGCAAAAATCAGCAATTTTCTGACAGAAAAACTCGTAAAATGCCGCCCTGATATCGAAAAAAGTGGATGTCTCTATACGTAACAAATTACTTCCTTCAACAATAACACTTGAACAGAATTCACGTTTTGTAGGTCCTTGATACCAAAACATTGATCGACGGCACAGCGTGTCTGTATGTCTATGGTCAATGCTAGCGCCTAATCCGTTCAGATGATTTTCTAAAAATAAAATATAAAAATTTAAAAAAATGCCCCGATCGATTTTACTGATCTCGGGGCCCTGCGAGTTAGAAAGGGATTTTTTTGATTTGAGGCCTACTTTAAATGAAGCTTTCTCAATAATTTCAAAATTTTCAAAACAATGTCTCCAATTTTGTTCATTAAACGTTTTCCTTGGACGCTCAAAAAAGGCGCGTGTTTCATATTCATTAAACTCCCAGAATTTTCGCAAGTTGTAAAGGTTCAAGTGTTTTGGAGCGTCTTCTTACACCTACAATATTGAAGATTGATATTCTTTTCTTAATAAAATCTGTTCTTCAAATACAGATCTTGAAATGAAGTCATGTACAATTTTTTGAAATATATGTGTTGGTTTCGCACATTTTTGCGTGAAATGTAGGCAATTTTAAGCAATTATTTTCTCAGAAACGGCATTGATTTTTTTCTTTTAATTTTTCCCTCAGATATAGCAATAAGCAAATAATAAGAATGCGGTTTTGCTCTTATTTTCAACGAACTCTCTGTGTATTAGAAAATTGTGCAACATTAGCAAAATAAAATACAAAATTGATGATAGAGATTTTTTTCTTAAAAGAAATCTTTAGGTCAATTTTTTAAGAAAAAAAAAACCGGTTGTTTTCGCACAATTTTTGAATGAGGTTAATAAACATTATCGGTCACATGCGTCTTTAACCCCTATTAATATGCAACCCTGCAGGTTTGTTAAGTGCACTTAGACCTATCTGTATGTTACGAAATTTTGTCGTTTAGTTAACTAAATATGCTCATTATTGCATTAAAAATCGTTGGTAATCATTGTGTTTGTGACATGAGTGCAATTAAAACTTAATCGTGCAATTAAAAGTACACAACAGCCAATCAGAACTGAGAGAAGTGTTCGAAATCGTTTAATTATGTATCTATAATACAGACGTTTCCAGACGGCCATGAAAATTAACAAAAACGTACATCGCATATTACGTAAATCAAAAACATATAATCAATGAACGTATGAAACAAGATTACAAATGAATAATTATTACTACTTCTTAAACAATCATGTTAATATTTGTAGAACAATAAGTTAAATTAGAAACTATTACCCTCCTCATACTTGGCGTCAATCATCCTAACCCAGAAGTCGCTTTATATTGCACAAATATGTTTACTTCACCTATTTGAGCGTGACGCCCAGAGAAAGCAGTTGTTTGGGCAAAACTCCTTAATTTGTTTGGAAAATAAAGTAAATTGTTTATAATTTAAAATATACATATTCTCCTTCACACGCCACGTCTTCAACATAAACAAGTATGCATAAGCATGTTGGTTTGACAGTAGCTGACTAATGGATTCATTGATTGTTAGGCGATTCCGGGCACTTAATCCACCAGGGCCATCACTCCCGTGAGTGCAGTGTATGTTTTTGCTCGGGACGTGGGGATGATCTTTCCCCCGCTGTATGGCGAGATCCGGCGCCGACCTACCTTCCGCTAGCAGGGATTTTCTCAACCAGGTATCTCCCATAAGCGGAGCACCACCCCAGCCGTGACAAGCTCTAAGCTCCCGACCGGTCTTCCGACATGTGTGGTAGTGTAGTGCACGTTAGTGTAAGTGTGTGCGTGTAAGGGGTGTGGATATGACAAGAAAGAGCCAGTGTCGAAAATCCTGCCACCGTCGGGACTCGAACCTAGGACCACCCGGTCAGAGGGACTGCGTGAGGTGGGTTTTAACATTAATTTGAAAAAGAGTGTGCTTGTTCTCACGAAAAGCTGAAATACTTGGGGCTGTAACTCGACCTCCACCAGAAAACTGCCCGCCGATGCGTACGTGCGGTAGCAAGCGTGCCTAGCACCCGGCTACGTTATGCACGTTTTATATTATCTTTGTACGGCACAGTAGGATGGCTTGCTATCGACTCCAAGTCCACTTACCCGCTGGCAAAATTTATTAATATCGTGCCAGAAGCGGCCATACCGTTTCTACGACGGCTGCAACCAACACCCACGCACCAAGACCCGTCAAACAAGCTGTGTGTTCAAGTCTACGCTGACGCAAGCTTCCATTCTTGTATTTTTGTTCTTTTGTGTGTCCTGATTTAAATGCCGTATTCTGCTGGCCGAGGTACTTTGCCGCGAACATGTTCACAGCAGAATACGAAGCAGCGCTTTTCGCGCTGCTATATTTTCATGAGTATTTTGTTAATTTAAATAGTGATAACCTACTTGCAGTTTATTCTCTTGTACGCAATGTTTGTAATACATATAATATTATTCTACTGTGTTTAGCACATGCAACATATGCTAATGTTAAGTTCAATGTAAAATGGATTTCAACATATGAAAATAAAGCAGACCCCTGGTCCAGGCAGTCTCCGGCGGATCACGGTAGCCCCTAGCCAATCAGGAGCCGCCGTTGCCCAACAGCTCTCTAATTCATAACCATTCACAAATAATAAATACGAATTTAGAAAAAAAAAATAATTCGATTCTTTCAAAATATCCTATCATGTTACTTGCTTCAAATTTTTATTTTTATATTGCTCAATATGAACGGGCTTCATTCAAGTAAGAATATCTTTCGCAAAAATTTTCTTCTTGTTCGTTTCCGTTTAAAGAAAAAAATCAAGTAAACAATTAAAAAACTGGTTGTTTATCACATCTTTTACTGCTAAATATTATAATCTCGCTCAGTTTTACGCACTGTTTAGTGTTTTCCTGCGGCAACGAACGCCTAAATGTCGTGTAACAAATGGAGTAGAAATGTGTCCGAGAAAACTCGGTCGCCGACCAACTCGAGCGAGGAACTCTTACGCCTCCGCAGAGGTGAAAGAGAAAACTCTTTCAAGTGTGTGGGGGTCGATATTTGTCCCTTGTTTCTATTTTCCACATTTCTCGTCGCACATTCCTTGGTGTAGTTTGTTGCGGGGCTTACACGAGGCAGAAAACGATAAGTGAAAACTCACAATGTCATTTGAAAGATTTTAAAAATATTGAATTCTCAACTATGCTAGAAGATGGCAAATCGACCTCTAATTAAACAATTAGGTCTATTGTTTGTGTTTCAAAGTACTTTTTTGTATTATTTTGTTTATTACTGACAGAGCAAGCAACACAAATATCAGCAATTCTCCAAGATGGTACAGTAGGTTCGTAATATGGTATACATGAACATATAGTACGATGTCAATTAGTTACCTTAATTCGTCTACCTTGTTTAATAATACTATTTATTGAGTGACATATTCAATTACAAATGTGTATGACGAGTCAATATGATGTTTTGGGTGGAGAGAGAAGTTATATTACTGTCCAGAAGCGAAACAAGAGGCCATCTCAGCATTTGCTCAAGGAACCAGGGAAACCGAACAAAAACCTGATCGAGATGGGGGTCATTGGCCAAGGAATTATACTACAATACTTGTTACTCCGTAAAACTCTGATCGCATCCCCCTGCTCACTGAGCAGAATACGCCACTGCCCCAAAGCTAAAGTTACTTTTATTCTGAATTGTTTGAATCTGATTTTCTTTGTACATCGCCATGTTTTTTCTTAATAAACATTTGACTAGCGATAAATCGAAGGTTGTTTATTTACGTTGCTATTATTTCAAAACGTCCAATTAAACCAAGAAGTGTACCAGCCACATATCCCTTCGGTCAGAGCCCCATTGGTCAAGGTCATGCGAGGGTATAAGAAAGACTTAGTACTCTGGGCTGTGATGCATTGTGCGTTGAGATGGCGAGCAGTCCGGCTGCATCCACTAGAGTGGGATGGTATATTTTTAAGAGGTTCACAACCAGTTTAACAAAGGTTAGAAAAAACGAACTATAATATTACTCTAATTTTAGAGTAATATTAGTTTTCAATTTCTGAAAGTGTAATAGAAAAAGAGTAAGTGGGAAACAAAAAAGCATGAAACTGTAAATGAATGTTGGAAAAAATAACATTTTATATCACAAGTTGTGAAGATTTTCCTTTCAATTGTCAGAAATGTTTAATATTAATGTATGGGTGACTTCTTCCATAATTATGTTATATGTTAATATCTTTTTATAATTACAATAAAGCCATATACTTTACTAGTTTCGAAACTGAAATATCGATATCACGTGTCAAAGTCAAATATCATAAAATAGACAACTCTGCGTAAAACTGAACCCCCCTAAATCAGTATATTTTTTTGTCCCGATTGATTCCAGCTTAGTCAGATTTTACTGTATATTTGAATATATCTCAGAATTCAGTTTGTATATTCATTCTAAAATTATATATAATGTGGGTGTAAGACGGTATTGGGTCAGACACGAATCACTTCACTTTAGGAACAAAATAACTTTATTATTAAACAATGAAAATAATGAATCCACATTACACACATTATGAGAGTACTTGCCTCTCTAGCCATCATAGCCATAATGTTCACTCGCTTCCCGCGTAACAGTGTTGCCGAAATGTTATACCGCGTCGCTTTCTTCTTCGGCGGTAAATCCTAAACATTCCTCCTCCGATTCCCTCAATCGGCCGTCCTGACAATCATCCGACTCGGATGGCGAATAACCATCTGGCCATGGCTGCATGTATTCGACGCACGTGGAAGTAATCCTGGGACCCTCGTGATCACCTTCCCGACGCACATCATTGGTGTCATTAACTTTGACATTGGTAATTCGATAAGGTCCGATATTTTTCGCCTTCAGCTTCAAATTTGGCCCAAACTGGATGCGCTTAATGGCCACTATATCACCAACTGCATTCTTAGAAGCCCTCTTTCTTCACTGGTTGAAATGTGCTCTATTTTCTTCTTATACCTTTAGAATTTGGATTTTGGCGTCTTCTCATTACATAGTTCTTCAAATGAATCTGAAGGGCACTGTAGCCAATAGAAAATAAGCTTCCATTTAAAAAATAGTACTACCAATCCAAATAAATGTACATTTCAACCAGAGCATTGTGGCACATATATGATGCGACATTATAAATAGTCTTCATTGAAGTCTCAACTTCTTCAGATTTATTAACATCTCAATTTTCATCTACAAGCGCTTTGTGATTAATAGTCATTTTCTTGAAATTTTTTTGTAAAATAGTGATATCAGAAGAACCACTGTATAAACAAATATACTTCACAGATATTTGCAGAGGATGAAAGCCAGAAATATTACTCAGTAACTGTGGCAAACTATATTTTGGACTAAAATTATTTGGTGCATCAATTACAAAGTATTTAGAAAGTCATTAGTTGACTGTTCACAAAGTTTTCTTGATAATTTTCTAACACAACAAGAGTCACGATTCATTAGAAAACATATTTGATAGCCAGGAGGCGGGTTTGCAGATTGTTGGGCCGAAGCCCATTAGATCCCTAAGGCATTGGACCCCCTACTGAGTTATCAGAACATACCATTAAATACCTGCAACACATCTAGCAAATTTAAGTTTTGAACTCTTATAGGGACAAATGTTGTTGCCTACATATGATGAAACAGTTCTCAATGACAACCCACACTTACAATCTCTCACACTGTTTTGCATGGTATTGTAATACTGATCTTGTGCATAGTTATAACGTTTCTTTTGCTGCAGTTTGATGATATTTTTAAATACGTCCATATTCTGGATTGCCGTTTTTTAATATAAAATTCATCTATGTAAGGAAAATTAGAGTTCACACGTTCAAAGGCAGGTACATCTTCTTGTTGGCCACAAATGTCCAATTCAGACTGCTCATCAGCTGTATAGTACGAAAATAAATTTCATTGATCTTGAGTATAATCCTCAATCTGATTTTCATTGACCTCTTTCTCCGGCGATAATTGCCTCGGTGTGCTGTATGTCGGTTGTTCCTCTTTCACACAAATCTTAAAATGGACATCAGGTTTCTCCTTCTCTGGAGAGCAATCGGCTATCAACTCTTGAATACGTCCTCTATTTTCTTCGCTGACGATGCTCTCAATGTTCAGTTCTGGCTCATCTGCTATACTAATAAGCAAGAGCCTCAAATTTCGGTTTTGTGATGGTTACTCGGTTTCTGTTTATCAAACTCTCTGCTTGGTCCAGAACATCATTTCCAACCTCCATGTTCAGTTTCGTGTCTCCCGAAACAACGTAAACATCTGTCTCAAATCTTATACCATCGACTTCAACAGAAGTTGTGAAATAACCTTGTGAAGAGACGTAGTTCCCAAATCCTGTTCAAATTACATCAGTTCTTTGTAGGACTGGAGCTTTCATGGAGTCGTAGATTTCTCGCCGCAATAAGTTGAGTTGACGACCGCAGACGATAAGTGCTTCAACTTCCTGGTTACACAACAGAACATTTTCGAACTTATGATTACTACACTTGGTATCATTGCTTGCAGTCAGACCTTGTTTTGTTGCGTTTCTTCTCTTTTGTACATTCACCTGAGACATGACCAAGCTCCTGGCAATTATTACATTTTCCTCGTCTTAATACTTGCATTCACTACACCTATGACCATAACCACAATTAAAGCATCGTTATACAGAAACACCTGTGTCTTTCGCCTTTGAAGCGTTTGAGCGCTTCACATCCTTCTCGCTGATATTTTTGTAGCTGCTGCTGTTTGTTCGTCTTCGGCAGTGATTTGAATGCGATCTCCTAGTGCCTCATCTTTTCCTTGAATTCCTTCATGGTTTTCGCGCCATAAAGAAGAAACTTCGTTCTTGAGTCATCCTCGATACCGTCAATCACATACTGGAACAAGGAGTCATAGTCGTCATCGCCTCGGCTGGCAATTTCTTTCATAACCAGAAAGTATTTAAGTATGGCTTTTTCTTGAATTAATTTTTTTTTCGATTCATACTCGTTGGATTCTTCATCAAAAGTAAATCCTGAAAATTCTTTCAAATGTTTCCGATTCTTTCTGTCCGTTGGAACGGTTTCAAAAAGTAGGTGATGAGCTGTGATGTCTTTTACAGGTGCGGAGGATAAGTTCGAATATATCTTCTCAATTGCGCCCAGATACGTCATTTTGGGATATTTTTATAACGTCAATAATATTGTTCAATGTGAAGTCTCGAAACACAAATTTTCGAATCGTGTCTAAATGTTGCAGTACAGCTTCTCCTTCTTCCTAACGAAACACACATCAAGATATAATCACACAATAATATTGTTCAGCCACGTCCATTCACCGTCGAAAAAGCGTATTTTGTTTCTCTGATGAACCTTCGTCGTTCCTCACAGATGCCACAAAATAACACGCCGTCTGTATCATGGGCAAAAGCAGCTGAAAACGTTCGCCATTAGCATAATCGAAAACGGTATATCAAATGTAACTTCATTTCACATCAAAAACTCAATCACGACATAGCCCCCAAATTGTGGGAGGTGGTATTGGGTCAGACACGAATGACATATGAATTGTTTAAAATTGTCGCAAACGCAGTGAAGACCACATTTATTATTCTAAAACAAAATTGTCGAAAACTCTCTTGAAATAAAATATTACCTTCCATTTGAGAACAATGATTTTCGAATATCAAACATCCAGTGAATGCGCATTCATATACGCACGAGCGTGAAGACACTGTAGCCCACAGTAAAAGCTACAATGCACGTCAAAGGTAACTTTCTCTGTGACATTGGGCATTACCAGTTCCTCATTAATCACCTCTATTCCCTAATCCTTAGCACATGCCAAACTGGTAACTACAGTGGGTGGGATGCTTGCTGTCTGTGGGCATAATTCAACGGGCTCCATACAGCCAGATTATTGGTACAGGTACAGCTGCTAAGGGTACCTTGGCATGTTGTTTAGAGAGCAGGAGGAAGGTTATCGCAGGAAATTGTCCCCACAGGAGCTGTAGTGTTTGCAGGAAGGTGTGAAAGATCTCTTATTCACCAGTAGATAGAGATTGGGAAAGAGTTTGGAAGAAACCAATAGGCAGCCCTGCCTCAACGAAAATGGAAGTAATTAATACAAGAAAGTCTCTGCTATTTTGTAGCACCTCTATTTGCTAAGGGTATCAATGTTCTTCTGAAGCATTGAAAAAGTATATTGAACATATTGAATGAATTTCTTGAGATTATAATGGGCAAGTATGTAATTCTGGTCCATGTTGACTCAACTTCGTATTTACAGTTGAAATCCAAGCTCATTAAAGGATTATCATCTGAATTTCGCTCTTTATTAGCTGGTCTAATGACTGTGGAACAATAATTGCACCGGTTACTTCCTTTACATTAGAAAGAAAAATAAATGTGTTAGAACAGCATTGTTGGCAATACATTTTGCATTTATTTGGATGGAAAAAAATTACAGTATCACATTTGGGGAAAATGGAACAACATATTCACAAATACTTCAATTTGTAACTATTTACACCCATAAAAAATATATTTCAGTGTGTTTGATTAAATATCAAAATTATTACCTTGTTTGGTAAATATTTAAGTCCTTTCTGATCACAACACACTGCATTTACATATTAATTCATTTTGTTGTTACAAGTTAGTACAACCGTATTAGAGTCCTTTCTTAAATAATAAATCTATTTAAATTTCTCACAATCATTCTTTAAAAGAATCCATTTCGCATTACTGTACCTAAAACGACAATTAAAAATGGTTTCACCAACTTAAATTCTTCAGATTTACAATGAACCAGTTAAAGCAGCAAGTGGACAGAATCTGTACAACAAAAGTCCCAAATTCAGGAACATATGAATTTCAGAGGTGCAAAATCAACTTTTTCCCAACCACGCAAATAATATTGTTCATTCACTCTTCTTTCTTACTATTTCACAAATACACCAGGATACAAGCATTCCCACACATTCGAACTCAACAACCAATTACATCTTGAAATCTGGAACATCTTTCAAACAAACTACAAATTTTGATTTAGACCAAATTATATGTACTTAACTTGAGTATTATCTACTCGTGTTCATTTTCCCTTTCAGTTCTATTCGGATTACGAGTCGATTGTGGAGAAGAAACTTGTCTACGATTTTGTGGAGGGTCATTTTCATTTTCATCATCATAGTCATCATTGTCTTCACTTTCATCTCCTTCTGGTACAACTTCACGTCTAGTTTCACCTGTGCCCTCTCTCACTTGACGTTGATTTTCATTATTTTCATCCCCTTCATTGCGGGTTGGCATGTTTGCTAGGACCAATCCAATTGCATCCATTAATACTGTTACACTGTATCGAAGTGTATCACCAATTGCAGCAGGGGCAGGAACATGACCAGCACCACCTGGGCCAGCAACCTGGATCCCTGCAGCTTCTCCAAGAGCAGCTTCTTCCCTTAAAAAATTAAGAAGGCAATGCTGACTACTTTATTTTTACTTCATAAATCACATTATTCAGATTATAACAAAAAAATAGCAAAAGAAAACAAACATAGCATGAACACAACAATGATCTTGTTTTGGCAATGTAGGAATTTTTTCTCTTTCTCTTTATATTTGAAATGTGAGAGACATGAGAAAGAGGGCGCACACGCACTGAGAAAGAGAGAGAGAGAGAAAGAGAGAGAGAGAGAGAAAGAGAGAGAGAGAGAGAAAGAAAGAGAGAGAGAGAAAGAAAGAGAGAGAGAGAAAGAAAGAGAGAGAGAGAAAGAGAGAGAGAGAAAGAGAGAGAGAAAGAGAGAGAGAGAGAGAGAAAGAGAGGGACACAGAGAGAGAAAGGGACAGAGAGAGAGAGGGACAGAGAGAGAGAGGGACAGAGAGAGAGAGAGAAAGGGACAGAGAGAGAGAGAGAGAAAGGGACAGAGAGAGAGAGAGAGAGAGAAAGGGACAGAGAGAGAGAGAGAGAGAAAGGGACAGAGAGAGAGAGAGAGAAAGGGACAGAGAGAAGAGAGAAAGG